GGCGCGATCTCGGCTCACCGCAACCTCCGCCTCCTGGGTTCAGGCAATTCTCCTGCCTCAGCCTCCTGAGTAGCTGGGATTACAGACACGTGCCACCATGCCCAGCTAAGTTTTTGTAGTTTTTAGTAGAGACGGGGTTTCACCATGTTGACCAGGATGGTCTCGATCTGTTGACCTCGTGATCCACCCGCCTCGGCCTCCCAAAGTGCTGGGATTACAGGCTTGAGCCACCACGCCCGGCCCAAAAATATTACTTTTTCTTATGGGATCCTGTTTAATACAACCACACACACTGCATCTTAGGGAAATTTTTAGAATTCTTGCTTCTGGCAGACATTTCATGGATACACATACTCACCACACCTCCTTCCTGCTGTCAACTGGGGACCTAAGTCACAACCTGCAGACTGGCACAGAAATGTCTGACTCTTCAGTGGAGTTCAACAAATACTTATTGAGCACCTCCTAAGTACTAGGCACTGCTGATACAAAGGAAAACAAATTTCATATTGTTGCTTCCCTAGCAAAGCTGAAAAAGGGAAAGATGTGTGACCAAACCATTATAATGCAACATAATGATGAAAAATACAAGACAGAGTAAAAAAATACATGAGGTTAGAGACAGCTTTGAGATGCTGCCTGAGCACATTCCTAAGTGACAAATGGGAGTTTTCCAGTCAAGCAGAAGCAGGGAAGTGAACTGAGGCAATAGGAACAGTATGTGCAAAAATGCCCAAGTAGAGTCCAGAGGTGATACTGCAGAATCACAGGAATTTGAACTATGGAATAGAATACGCCAGGCTAGGAATGGCAGCTGAGAATGGCAATTCAGGCATGGGCCAGATTAGAGGCCTCACATGCCTCTTTAAAGGCCTAGTACTTTGAGAACAATAAAGCAGCCAGTTATGCTTACAACGATCAAGAAGAAATGTGAAAAATGGCCTAGTAGGGCAAGAAACTGCAAGACTATTAGATAAATTTTTAAAAAGTCCAGGCACAGTGGCTCATGCCCATAATCTCAGCACTTTGGGAGGCTGAGGCAGGCATATTGCTTGAGCCCAGAAGTCCAAGCCAAGCCTGGGCAACATGGCAAAACCCATCTCTACAAAAAAATACAAAAACTAGTCAAGCATAGTGGCACATGCCTGTAATCCCAGCTACTTGGGAGGGTGAAATGAGAGGATCACTTGAGCCTGGGAGGTGGGGGTTGTGCATGTCCCACCTACTTGGGAGGGTGAAATGGGAGGATCACTTGAGCCTGGAAGGTGGGAGTTGCAGTGAGCAGAGACCATGCCATTGCATTCCAGCCTGGGCAACAGAGTAAGATCCTGTCTCAAAAAAATTAAAATTAAAAATAAGGGGACTGGGCTACAGCAATTGCAGTGGAGATGGCTTCCAGAGGTAGGAGATAACTTCAACAGAACACATCCATTCAGTCTTCAATGGATATGAAGATTGAATAAGAGGGAAAACTGAGGGTGAGGGCAATGCCCAGGTTTGGGGCCATGCTGGAGTGACTAGGCACATCATGGGCCAACAACTGAGAGAAAATCAGGAGCACATAAATGCAAGTGTGAGAATATGGGGTTAGGGTAGTGGAAAGACAAGTTATTTACCTTTCTGTTTCCCCAGAAAGTGAAAACATGCCAGATTTTCTCAGTCTGAGAATTAAAAATTCAGGATCAAGTCTCCATTTGAGAAAATCTTTCCCACAAGAACTTACAGGTGTCTTTTTTTTTTTTTTTTTGAGAAAGTCTCACTGTCTCCCAGGCTGGAGTGCACTGGCACAATCTTGGCCAACTGCAGCCTCTGCCTCCCAGGTTCAAGCGATTTTTGTGCCTCAGCCTCCTGAAATGTTGTTTTCATTTCTTTCTTAAGAAAACTCTCCCTATTCT